TAATTAAATATTATAAAATATATATTAAAAATTTGAATCAAATAATGCATTATCATTAAAATAATTTTCTTATCATAATTTTTCTCATTATATATGAAAGAATGACCATAGTGATGTACGTTACTTTTTTAAATCTATCGATTTAAAGTCATTAAAGTCATGCAGTTTATTGAAGCAGATATATTGAAAGAAAAAATTAAATAGATCATAACTCATCTTTTCAATCAGTATCAATATACAATTTATTATATCATGAATTTATTACGCCAAATCTAAATAAATCTTTTGTTTCTCAAATTTCCTTTATTAAATAGATAAACAATATCTTATATAAAAAGAACTCACAAAATAAATATAGTCATCTCTGTATAAAAATCATATAGTAATAGGATTTACTTTCAGTATAACAGAAAGGAAAAGGAAATCGAGAAAAAAAACAATGTCTCTAATAACTGTCATTTCTTTAATTTCTAATAAAATTTTTACTAACATTCACTACTGTCTTCTGCAGTCAGGTACTCATTAAAATTCTCTTCAGTATTAAGATCTTTTATAGAAAACTTATTGGATTTAATATGTGCTGATTTTCGAATTTGTTTATATTTATTTTCTATTAGAGTATGTCGCAAAGTTATCTTTCTTGCTTTTATAGAATAAAGCATGAAAACAAGTTGTAACAACCCTAACCCAACAAACGTAAGAGCTATTAGGAGACCAAAGTATTTATTCGGTGTTTGTGGAGGCGGTGGCGGCCATGGTCCTCCTGCTGTACGTACTTCATATTCCCATTGACTGCTATATTGCCTGCAACAATATATTATGTTACTTATATTAAATTTTTTGCTCATTGTTACATTTATATAATTACATTTAAGCAATATAGAATCAACTATAAAAATAAATATATAGTCACTTTGCTTCAACCTATTAACAAACACATTGTAATCCAAAACATTGTAATCCAAACAATATAACAATAGAATTCTCCCGTTGTGTTGTGCGTAAGAGTGAAAAAAAAATACAATTTCAGTATTACCAAGCATAATCACTGATTATTATAATTCTAAATAATTATAATTTTAAATAATGTGTCAAGTTTTCTACAGATATTTTTGTCAAAGCATAAATTTGGAAATGCAAAAGCAAGAATTTTAAAGATATGATTTAATTTCATATTGCATTAGTAGCATTTTTTAATAAAATCAACATTAACTTACGTGTTCTGTGCGTTATTTACGTAAGATGGATTGTATTTATTATACTTCAAATCAAAATCGTATTGGCGCCTTGTATTTTCTTTACTTAAAATCATGTACGCTTCATTCAACCTTATAAAATCAGTATGACTTTGTTTACCACTAGTATCAGGATGCAACTAGCAAAAATAAATGCGTAGTTTATAGGCTAACTATTTTTTTATGTATCATAAAATACAGACTAAAAATGAAAATAGTAAAAAATATGCTGTTTACATTTATAATATTATCCAAATTAAAAATTTATGATTTCTCCTAATACAAATTAAGTACCTAAAGCATCACATACTTCTTTATTTAGATAATTAGATAACATACTTGTTTTGATAATTTGATAAAAGCTTGTCTAATCTCTTTCTGGGACGCATTGGGTGAAACATTTAAGATTTCATAATGATTCTGCTGGTACCTTTAAAAGGAATATGCTACATTGGCAATAATAAATCTTTTTTTTAGCAGGCTGATACTTTTTACACTCAGAACAAAATAAGTATATATTTCCATCTTATATGTTAAACGAAGGAAAAGGAAAGAAAAAGATTATGATTAAATATATTAATATATAGTAACATATAATATCCTCTCTTTTAATTTTCCTATATTTTTGCAAATTTGTATACTTTCATGCATGAAATATATTCCGAGAAGGAAAATCGTCGCTCTCGTTTTTTTTTTATTTTATTTTTAATGTTTACATAAGAAGAATAAATGATGTAAATTTTTAATCACAAACTATTTTCTGTTATAATTTAAGTTATATAAAAAATTTATTTTTTATATAATTTTTTTTATATTATAATTAAAGCAGAGAATCTACATAGAATAAGAGGGTTATTATTAAATTGTAATTTTTTTAAATACTGACAAAAAAATTGAAATTAATGAAAAATATAGACGATTTTCTTTTTTTCGAAATACATTTTACTCCTGAAAATATATAAATTTATAAAATTAGAGAAAAATCGGAAAGGACATTATACTAAACATTTATCAAAGATTGTAATAGAGTATAAAAAGTGGCAAGCTAAAAAACAAATTTATTATTTGACAACGATTATGACATAACGAGACGACAAAATAAGATTCTAACCTCCAAGTTCCATAACTTCTAGCCACGCAACAGATTTCCGATTTGCACACTCGTGTGAATTGTGCCATTGTTTATCAATACAATATTGCTCAACAAAGTCATTTCGAAAACTTGAAGCATTTTACGCATTGATAGTTTGTTAGATGATGGCTGCCATTTTTTATATAAAAATAAATATCTGACAAAGAGAAACTTGAGAGAAATCATGTCGGTCTTCATTTCAGCTATCGTCGAAATTGTCCGTACACTACCGCCAATACATCCATTTTAAATTTGGGAATTACGTGACTATACACATTTTCTGACACTATCGATAAAATCGTCGAAAGTAGACATGGCTTGTGTCTACATTAAATCCTAAAAAAAAAAAGTATCCATTATTTTAAAAAACAACACTTTTGACTTATTCCTTATTTAATATTTTAAATAAGTTTTTAGAACTTATTTTATATTTTATATTTTAAATAATTTATAACCGATATTTAACTGAGCCGTGATCAGCATTATACGTAAATTTAAGAATTGCTAAAACACAGAATAATTTACAGTATTTTAACTGTTTATTAATTCAGTTTATTCAGTTGATTTAGTTTATTAACTGAAAAATTAAATATAATATAATAATTAACAAGATATTTACAATACTTTTAATCAAAGCTGTATTTAGCGCAAATTGATTCACAATACATATATGTATATTAAAAAAATTTGATATATCTTATATAAAGAATATGTAGAATATTTTATCTTTATTTGAGTATGAATCATTAAAAAGAATAATGAAAATTGAGACATAATATTGAAATATCAAAAATATCTGACGCAAATAATTATTAATTACGTTTAAAAGAACCATGCAAGTAATATAGAGTTGAACAAATGGCAGAAATGGCAGAAAGTAAAGCGCGAAATGTACAATGATATCTATTTGTTAAAATTATATAAAATATGAATAATTTTTCATACGCGACAGTTGCATATTCGAACGGCGAACGGCGAGGGATGGAGGTGCGCGGCGAATAGCGAGGGGGAGCGTACTACGCCGCAATGGTTGCTACGTCACTTAGACATTTGCTCGGCAACCTTGGAGGAAGACGGCTGTATACGAATTGCTCCGCGTGTCGCATTAAATCTACGAAAATTAGACGATATCAATGAACGTGAATTGATCAATATTTATAATTTGCGAATTGTGAACATGTCGAAGCGACTGCTGTTCGTAGAAGGTACAATTATTTTACCACAGACTTGAAATAAACGTCGAAATATACGGTAGTTTATAAATTAAGAATTGTTTAGATCGGTATTTATTCTCTTTAATAGTCATGAACATGAGTGATAGCAGTGCGAATTGTGAACATGTCGAGGGCTTTGTATATCACTTTCAATTTTCGATAGAAAGTGTACGATGCATGAATTTAAATTTATTGAATTACCAGATATGGTATGAAAACGGAATGAAAACACAAATACTTTCTTTTATTTAATATACGTATTTAAAATACGTATTTTAAATATTTAACTTTGAAACTTTTTTTTTAATTTTTGGGATTTTATTCTGATTATCGAAAAATCATTAATAATTTTAGATAATTTCTAATTAAATTCTAATTAAAAATTTGATGTTTAGAATAATCGTTAATTTTTCTTCATATTTAGTATACAAATTTATTAAATTTGTATTGCTTGCTTTTTTACATTTATATTTTTAATATTACAGTATATTTAGAATTACAAGTATATTTTAGTAATCGATTGCAAAGGCCTCATTGCTGTCCTTCGCGTCGCATGGACGCTAGTGATTGCATGGTTTGTACCAATAGAAAGTCGAAATTATCATTTCATCGTGATTATTCTTCGTCGCTTTTTGTGAAATCCATTTGCGAAATCTAGTTTGTTGTTTCTTCGGAAATTCTTATATAGGATCGGAATTAATCCCAGGTTTTCTCATCTATAGTTTATACTGAAAGTAATAATTTTGTCAATGATAATTGCTATATATATTTTAAAGTTAAGTTGCGAAATTAATTCAGTAGTATATTTTAGCATACAATTTTGTTTGTTTTATTGAATGTTCTCACTAATAATGATAATGTAATAGTACTGTCTTAATAATAATAGAAATTTAGTATTATATGATTAATATGATTATATTGGCTTAAGTCCAAATTATTAAGTAAATAAATTTAAATTTTATACAAATAGTTTGCTCAATTTTCGATGATTCCTCTAACAAAAATATTGTTACGAATGTATATATTTAATTTTCTAACTGTTATTTAAACAATTTTTAGATATCGGACATCCCGCCATTCCAGAATATTATTAATTATTAATTTATATGTAGATATATGTATATATTTTTCTATGATAAAGTGCATGCGGATATTATGAGATTAATTATGTTTAACGAATTTGGATTTTTGTCGATTTATATAATTTTTACCAAAATACTTTATATTTTTTTAACAATGTTATTGTGATTATATGAATTTAATTAAAAATGTGTGTGTACAAAAAATTCGTGATAAGAATCGAATGGGTATCCTCATATCAGCGGGATATTAATAATTGAAATTTTTGAAAAATACAGAAAAATAAGGAATTGTTAAATATAAATGTTTTTAAAAATATTATTATTGGGTTCGTCTTATCTCGAACAGTTGGTACCCCAGAAACTTTTGTACCCATACATATAAAAAAATTACAATAACGCATGTATTTTATTATTATTAAATATATTCCTTCGTAACCACTATTGCATAAGGAAAACATTCTATCCGTTTATTTTTAATAAGAGATGATTTTTAGTGATGTGGCAGAATATATTTTCTCACGAATTTTAATATTATATTAAAGATGTGATAAAAATGGTAATTGTAATTGACATTTGACCTAAATTATTACTATCATAAATATAGTCTAAAAGATTCGGGATTCATACCTTCCTGTAACAAGATCACTGGTATTTGAATTGCTTAATTTTTCTTTGCAAATGGATTTTGTAAATTTGACGTAGAATCAGAATACATTAGGTTCGCTCTCCAGAAGATTGTTCTGTTTTGTATCGGATATTAAACCAGCATATCACAAGGCGCAAGGACTTTGATATAATGAAATTATTGAGATAGTTATCTTGAACGCGATGAAAATGTTGTTATAAATATATTAATGATTTTTTATCGTAATATTATTAAGTTTTATATTTGCAAATTAATAATTAATAATAAATACGATTTAATTGTTGTTAGTATTTCTTCTGCGTTTATCAATATTTCATTAAACATTGGTTTAGAAAAATTTATGTTATCGTATGTATTTTTGTTTTCATATAATCTCACACATTACTAAAATTTTTTATTCTCTCAGATTTCTTTCTATAGCTGATAAGAAGGAGATTAGCTATTTGGCACTTGTTAAGGTAGTTTCCTTCCTACTCCGCGTTTAATATTCGCATAACCGGTAAATGACGTTGAAAGAGATCTATCTTATCATTTCCTTAGCATCGAAGTATAGTTATTTGAGTTTAGCGATTGCACATTATGTGTTTGCGCATGGCAGCACTGATAACGGGAAAACGGCCGAACGAGGTGTTGATTGGCCGTCAAAAGTTGTTTACGTTACGGAACCAGCAGAACCACGTTTGAAAATTGATGCGACAATCGAGGCGGGACCGCGACACTTTTCCGGTATTTACGATTCACGCTTCTTGTGCCGGGCCTGACGATGGTGCGATACGCCGCCCTGAAAGGATTATACGACTTGGAGAAGACGATCGGTAGTGGCGGCTTCGCCAAAGTGAAACTCGCGACTCATGTCGCTACCGGCGAAAAAGTTGCCATCAAGATTATGGAGAAGACTGCATTAGGCGTAAGCAAAGTCTCAATATTTATTTTAAGAGAAGGGGATGTTTATTGTATTTGCCTGTCAATATTTTTTTTTCTGTCTTAAATTTTTTTTTATTCTGTCTTAAAGTATATGTACTATGTAATTAAAATATGTGTATTCTAGGAAGATTTACCAAGAGTGAAGGTCGAAGTAGAAGCACTTAAAACATTGTTGCATCAACACATCTGTAGACTGTATCAAGTGATAGAGACAGAGAGTCATTACTTCATGGTTATGGAATATTGTTCTGGTGGAGAACTGTTTGATCACATAGGTAAGTTTAAGTTATTATATATAGAATTTTTTATTACCTAAAAAAATCTAAATATTAATGACTATTGTATTTGTGTTCCAGTTGAAAAGAATAAGTTGTCAGAATCTGACTCTCGTAGATTTTTTTACCAGATAGTGTCTGCCGTTGCATACATGCATAGTTTAGGATATGCTCATAGAGATTTAAAGCCTGTAAACATATTTTTTTTTATAATACATATTATTTATCCTAGAAAGATTTACTAAGAGTTACTAAGAATGTTTTGAGAATAAGATAATTTATTTTCTTATTTAACAGGAAAATGTTTTACTGGATAAAGATGAGAATTTAAAATTAATTGACTTTGGGCTATGCGCAAAACCCAAGATGGGAATTCAGGCACATTTATATACCTCTTGTGGTTCTCCTACGTATGCTGCCCCAGAGCTCATAATGGGAAAGAAATATTTAGGTAATTAAATTTTTAAAATGCTTTTAATATTTCATTGTAATTTAATATTTAAAATTTGAAAATTTTTCTTCGCAGGCTCAGAAGTAGATATTTGGAGCATGGGAGTTCTTCTTTATGCTTTACTATGTGGCTTTTTGCCTTTTGATGACAATAATTTAGAGAATTTATATAAAAAAATACTTGTAAGTTTTATAATTGCTATCTGCATTTTATGACAAATGTATAAATTATATTTATTTTAGAGTGGCAAGTATGAGGAACCATATTGGTTATCTAATAATAGTAAAATGCTAATCAAATCAATGTTACAAATCGATCCAGCAAAAAGAATCACTATTCACGAATTATGTCGTCACCCATGGATTACTGGAAGTTGTCAGAAGTCTGTATCATTCATTCACAGAACAGAAGTAAGAATTTTTATTGCAGAGAAATTAACTTTTTATATTTTAAATATTTTATATGAAATTTTTTTTTTCTATGTAAATATTTAGTTCGAAAAAGACAACGAGGTATTGAATACTATGTCCGCCATTTGCGGTAGGAATAGTATAGATATA